TGCCTGTGATCATACAAGAATACTTGTTGGTTTTGGTTTTTATGAGCTATCATTTAGCTGCGAGAAAATAAACATGGAGAAGCTTCTTGTTTGTTTTGTTCCAACAGTGTACGTATAATTTTAAGTAAACTTGAGAAAATGTGTGTCACCAGAATACCTAAGTAACTCTGGTTCCCACTGCTGTAAGAAAATCTAGGGCAAACGGTGCTGTCCTCGTCTACTGTATAATCACAGTACATTGGACCGTGACATTTAGGCTATCCTTCTGCATTAACATGGACTAATCTTCAGCTACCATCTGTTGGTATGGAAAAATTGCAATACATTTATTACTGCAGTCAATCAGCTCAGATATGATGCAGCACATTACAATGACCTGCACTATGAACCAAGATTCCAGTGAGATACTAAATGCACACTACACACTACACCACTTTCCAATCACTGATAGAATTAATAAGTATGGGAGTTTCTTAATACATCACCAGAACATTGTGACATTGTGACAGGACAGCAAACAATTATACATTCATACATTCTCTACAGCTAATCTGTAACCTATATGTTTGGACCGGTAGCCTTCATGTTGTGGCAGGGCTCTCTAAAAAATGTTTTATCGATATTATTGAAATTCTACTTCAATCACTTAGCTTATTTTCTCTGCACTGTCTGACCTTCACTGTGCAGAATGAGCAGAATTTGGTTTATACATTTGTCTGCTGAATGGGGGAACGTTTCTCTGCGCTCACCTTGAATCTCAGTTTAGCACGTGTCATTTTGTGACACCACGACTATTGGAAGCAGATTCTGGTTCAATATGTAACTTATACAAATGTGATGTGGAAACTTGAAGCCTCCAGTGCTCATATACACTGAGAATGGACTTTTCAGGGAAGTAGGAGACATCTTGTGTCTCAATTCTGGATTGTTTAAACGTGTCAAAAACAATATCAGACAGCAATTATTATTTAAATCTTTATACAAATCGGTTCATAGTTAAACAATTTATCAATGCTGTGGAAATTACACTAGATAGCATGATTATGTTGTACATGTATTCAAACTAACATTAAACAATTGTTGTAAAATTGTAAAATTACCAACAACACAGCCAGCAGTCAGCGAAAACCAGGATAAGAGTTTGAGTAGTTTGATCCTGCAGTTAATTTACATTTCACGTAATCAGATTCTTCGTCCGGTTTAATAAAAAACTTGACCTGTATTCAGTTTTTTCAGGTATCTTAGCAAATTTCAACCAAAGGAGATTTTTCTTCTACTTTTAATTGTTACAATTAAAAGTAATATTGTGCAGCTTTTGCCAACCCAGGACTGTTGGTAATTTGCAGGTAACCATAAAATGTGTATGTGGTACATTAGCTCAGTAAATGTAGCTATTTGAGGCAAAGTAACTACAACATGGCGAGTCAGTTTACCTCACGGGCACCGCTAAGGGTGCCCTTGAGCAAAGACACGAACCCCTAACTGCTCCCAGGGGGCCGCTATGTGGCAGACCATCACTCCGCCATTTGCATGTCTATAAGCCCTGTGTGTGTGTGTGATTGTATTTCGGGACCTGTGTGAATGTGAGAAATTTAGTGAAAAGAGAACTTCCCCATTGGGGATTAATAAATTAATCTTAGACATGTACACCAGTTTATTAGGTACTTCTAGCTAACACAAATGCAGCCTTGTACTTTTTAATAATTCTTGCTTTATGAAGGTTATACTGTCCCAATTTATATCAGTGAGGACATACTAAATATAAGAGACACCTCTTATTATAACTCAATATAACTCAACAGCACCAAAAAATGACCATTAACACCTCTCCAGAACAACAAAACAAAAACAGAACATTACTGCCTTATGAAGGGAGAATTTTTTTGCAGGACTATTGTATTTGCCTGCATTCCTCTTAGCTAGATTATCTAATAAACTGGCAACTGAGTGTAAATACTATTCACCTATGTCATGATATCACTCTAAGAAGTCAGAGTAGGTTGCTTTACTGGTACGGTACCTAATATGTTAGATGTGTTATGTTTTCTAAACACGGATTCTGTAGAGTTCCAACTATTCAGTGCTGGTCACGTCCAAGAGCATGGAGCAATAAACATAGGAGATAAAAATGATCAAGATCCCTGTTGGCATTACCTGCTAGACGTGATCAAGTCCACAAAACACAGCCAGGCCCAGAGATAAAGGGGGAGGTAAATCAGTAGAGTGGGCTGGCTGTCAGTGCCAGCCTTCACTCTCAGAGTCAAAAGCAGCAGAAGCAGCGAGAGCAGGTACAAAAATGATCAATTTGTTGGACTGAACTTTTTTAGATTGCTTTTTAAGGAAAATTATTGTCAGTTAAGTTTTTCCATCCTTTCATTAGAATTGAAAAAAATATTCACAAGCTGTGACCATCATGTAGCCTTTGCCCAAACCCCCCCTTGTGTATAAATCATTCAACAAAAAGGTAAATAATTAAAGGAGGCAGTGTTAACAGCATCAACAACACGAGGCAATTATATATTTAAGTTGCATTAAGAGTTCAATAGAGACTGAATAATTTACTTGGATGTGAAATCACTGGCAAGTAAACCTTTGTTCACCCCATGTGGGAGGTTGTCAGTTGCAAATGAAATGTTGTATATCAGATGATATTTCGAATTGATGGGAGTGTTCCATCCACAACTGGAGTCAAACTTGGTCAGAAACTGAAAAAGTAATGCTTTCAAAAGAATCAAATCATTGCATAATAAGACAAGAGACAATGTAATATGGTTCAAAGTCTTCCAGAGGAGGCAATTACACTATGCATCTTATCTTCCTCATCATAGCATTTTCATTACATTAACAGTGAAAGATAGGGCTGAATCAAACAGCAATTCAACTCTTCCATAAAGGCTTTCATTCAAAATCAAAATCTTTGGAGGATAAACTTTGAAGGGACATTTAATCTGTTCATAAATATTCACTTTGTTTTGGAGGAACTTGGAATAGTGAGATCCACAGAGCATGCATGCAAGTAGCAAAATAAATGGCACATACACATGAATGGTTCCAGATATTTTTGTATATTATGGTTCATGCTCTCAAATAAAAACATTTTATCTTTCTGCGAGGGAAAAGCTTTTATTATACTATCTGTTGTGGACCTTTTGGCACCATTTGCAACAGACTGGACTGGAACAAGTGTTGTAGAAGTTCAATCAGGAGAGAAGCCTAAGGGTCAGGTGTCAGTTTGGCGTTTAGATGTAATGGTGCATGGTGGAACACTGTTGTTTTTCTCTAAGTGAAAAGGCTTTATGGCAGATGGGTGACCGGATGCATTGTTTGCTGCTCCTCACAGTTGCAAGAAATGGACAGCGTGTGCTAGCCTGTCTGGCGGCATGTTGAGAGGGGCCCTCATTATCTGTCTGCTGCAAATGCTAACTTTAAGATTGTACCTTGTTTCAGCTTTAATTTACTTTTTCCGGAATGCCCACATAATATAGGCACAGACATGTGCAAATGTAGAGCTGAAAATTACAGAAGTGGAATCTCGGTTAAAATGAAAGGAATGGAGCTGCATTTCCATTAGACGCAATCAAACGGAGGTGCTGCCCTCCTTGATTACCATCTTTAGCTCCTAAAATGGGACCTAATGGGAAAAAGTGAATTATAACACCCAAATATCATTAAAGCCCGGCACACCACCTGGGCCTCGGACACTTTCCCCAACACTGTCCAAGGCTTCTCCAGGTCTGTTCATTCATTCATACCGGAGGGAGTGGGACAGATGGTACAAAACACATCAAGCTGTTTTGCAAACTGCAGACCTAAATATCCCTTCCCCTGAATATGGGCAGGGTCACCTCAAGACTCTGCTGTGTTGCACAACCACCTAAACTGTCTAACATTTACTCAAATGCACGGCAGGATGAATATGATGTTATGTCCGTTGTCTATTTAATTTTACTGTCTGTTTTGTATTCTGCTTGTATTGACAGGTTTGTTGTCCTTCATATCTTTATGGAAATGAATACTTTTATGTTTGGGCTGTTTTATTCCAGCCTTTGAAGTTGCACCAGTACAGGATTTTTATCTAAAAAATAAAATCGTGTCATCAGCCAAAAATAATAAACATCAAACAGTTTTGGCTTTTTTTTGGTTTTCATTTGGAGCTTTCAAGTGTGGAGACTTTATAGTACTGCCAAATGAATGAATTGTGTGGGGCTAAAATTAAGCAGACCACTGCAATCTTTGAGTTCAGACATGGTAGGTTCATAAAACAGTTTTTACACAAGAACTGAATGAATCCGAACATCTGGTATGTACCTCTCCAAGAAAACAAAACAAGACTAATCTTGATGAAGACATGAGAAAACCAGCACTGAGTGAGGGCTTCATCCAAATAAAGTTCTTTAGCATCTTGTATCTCTTTTCCTGGGAATGAATACAAATTTCATTACATTTTTGTTTCTGGTCTGAAATATCTTAAAGGGGTAGTCCAGCAACATGTTATTGCACTTCTACACGTTTGGGAGACTCATATTGGACAGATTAGAATGGTCAAAAGTGACAGAGGCCGACATATACTGACTTTTAGTCTCTAGTATGGGTCAAGCTCCAAAAACACTGGATCCTACATTTCCCATAATGCAACTGGACAGCACATTTCGTCACACCCCCCTAAATGCCCACTTCTTTCAAACCTGTTTGTCACACAAACTTTGTGTTTTAAGTGACAGTGGAGTGCCCCTTTAAAGTGTGTACACTACTGTGAAAGTGTCAATTACTGTCCAGGTCCACGACAGAGAGGCCTACGTGATAAAATAATCCCATATCATTGTTGTGTGGCAACTAAGAAAAAGGTCCCATGACACAGAGAGCTCTGACTTTTCCCCAACACAATGGTGTTCTTCTCTCAGAGGTCTAAAAAGGTCTGTGCAGCCTGTGGCACTGTGGTAGCTAAAACAGGCTTTGCTAAAGTCCATAAGCTAAATGAGCATTAGTTATTTTCTGCTCACCTTTTTTCCTGTTGAAGGCGCGGTTCATAGTGGAAAATGTGCGTCTCCAAGGTCCCTCCTGAGTATCTGACAATATTACACCTGGAAAAGCAGCAGGGAGAAGTGAGTTAAAAATGGCTTTAACCTCAAGCCTTCAAGAAAAGGCAGAAAGTCTAAAAACAAACAGTCTGAAGGGTTTTCTTACTGCAAAAACTCCCCACCCACTGAGAGTGAGGCAATGCTTAGCTGTCAGAATGTGTTCAAATTAAAGTCCCAGTCCATCTGCATTACATTTGTTTACCACCGAGCCACATCGTACTCATCATCACGTCATAATACAGTACTCATTGTGCTTTCTGTATTACAGTACAGAATGTGCCTAAGAGAGGTGATTTCTATCAAAGCCAAGTAAAAGGGTTGCACAATAAAATGTAGCATTGTTTAATATGATCCCCTGCCACAGTCTAGCAATATTTCCTAATCTTTCCAGCAGAAATAGAGCATATTTGTCTGTCAGACTGCTACGTGTTCAACTGTATCACCAATATGCATTAATCTACAGAACATTCACAGGGGGCAAAACCTGAAACTAAATCTATGAAGTTTAGTCACCACAAAGAATACCAGTGTTTATCTTCAGTCTTTTCTGTCCAGAATAAAATGATCTCACACAAAAACAAATTTAATATACATCAGCATTCTACTAGAACTGAGCCTGGTTAAAGTAAGAGATGAATGTAGGTTGTGGTCAAAGTCAGTTTTTTCTTTTTTTTTAAACTTACTGTAGTCACAGCATTGCAACTCAGTTGTCCCAGAACGCAGAGACAGGTACAGTACATTGACACTGTGCTACATTACAGAAAAAGAAGCCATTTCTTTTACAAATGCAAAACATCCAGCATCTCTAAAGTCTGACACTTTGCCTTGACTGCTTTCAGACCTTTGCATCAATTCCCCATGAGAGCTCAGCAATCTAAAGGACTGCAAGGACAAACTGTACAGGACTAGGTAGCTGTCAGCCTGCTACACAATCAATATTCCTTTCTCTTTTACTGTGGGAAAATATGCAAGGCCTGCCGCATAACAGCCATTTCAATCCTTGCCTTTGCAAACAAATTAACTTGTGCCCGGGCAATTTAGAAAATGAATTGAATTTTTCCATCTTTGGATTTTCCATTTATCAAGGGAAGCCTGAGCTATTATAGGTTTTTATCGAATGGAAAAATAAATCCTGCTCATGCCTTGGAACCAAACTTCCAACATGCTGTATCCTACAACAGTGCAACAACTTCAGAAACAAGGTCTGATGTATGAAAACTATGATACATAGCTCTCTACGTAAATATCCTACAAGATCTATTGGATGTGGGTAGTCACTAAATATTTCTGGCTTATGTATTTATACCAGCAGTATATCCAATATATCCAAATGGCATATAAATAACACGCCAACGTGTTATCACAATGCATTGTCGAATTTATAAAATTCAGTATAGTTTAACATGCAAGGCATACGTGGATTGGAGGTCTTTTTTAGTTTAAAAGATTTGGACCTGATCTGAAACACAGCTACGGAAAACCTGCCCAAACAGTCAGACCTGATACAAACGGTGGACAATTGCAGATTCTCGATGTGACACAAGCTGACAAAGCAGTCGAAAAGAGTAGAAATACACGTCATTTTTCTCTTATGATGACTTTTACACACCATGCAATGACGGCTCAGATCTACTCAGCTATTAAACACATTGATGCACACACCTTAGACCTGGAGCAACACAACAGGACCCTAACTGACCAGATTTAACTGAATATGCTTTGGATCTGACCCAACTCAGGTACTAGATCAGGTTTCAGTCACTAGATGGACCTGTGAAGACCTCTACCACTAATTAATCTTTTGCACCTATGTGTACTTTAGTATATATATACACACTCACACACACACACACACACACACACACACACACACACACACACACACCTTAGTGACTTAGGTGTAGCTACACATATCAACACTTAAAAAGGGTTACTAAGGTCACATTCCATTTAACAAACAAGACCACATTTTATATGGTTGGTACAGTAGACTTCCTTGTATGTTGTTGTTGCTTCTAAAAACATCTAATATATCACCTGCCACTGCAACCAACTCTGAGGATGTTTACGGTGTGTATTCCGTTGTATGATACACAAACACCAATTGTGAGTGTGACATAAATGATGCTATTCAGAAAATGAGTTTTTGTGTAAAAGGCATTATCAAACAATAGTCCTTGGGGCCGAAAAAAAAAGATAGAAACTGAAATATGTGCAAACAAATTGATCACCGTAACATGGGAGGTTAATGGGTCATTAGCTTTGACTGAATAGCAGAAAGGTGTCTCTGACTCAACAGCACAATGCCATCATTTTGCAGATATCTTTATTACTGCTTGGTGGGGGTGGTGACAAACAAGCAAACCATCCATAAAAAAGACACATCTATGACAGAGCTCTAATTATTACTGAATTTGCATGAAACATGCTCTGTGATGATAAGCAACTGTCTCCTTAACTGGAAAAATGAAAAGCCCATAGCTGCAGACTATACATAACAAAGGCACATAATGATATACGGCATATAACTGAGGGAAATGTGGGTTGCAGATACAAATACAATGTATGTTGGTTCTCACAGTAAGGGGATATTTTACTGCAACAGAGGCCCTAGAAAGGGCTGGAGAAATTTTAAATGGAAAAAGCTTCAGGGTGGGGACTGGGACATTCCTCAGTCTGGCAAAACAGAATATCTTTGCAGTTGAAAAAGACAACTTGTGTTCCTTATTTACAGGTCTAACATTTGTTGAAAACATTGCATGGGCAGATGACCAAGGCCACCACTATTGTTTACATTTCACCAAAGGCAGGGAGAGTGTATTCTGCAGATCTCAGCACCAAACTACTCTGCAGTATCTGGACTGCCAAATCAAGACCTTGGCAGTGGGGGCCTTGGTACTTAGCCCTGGGTTTCAGAGAACCAGCTTTTTGGATTTAAGTGCACTGTTGTCTTTATCCTCAAAGCAAGTTACTGTCAATGTCTAGTGTTTTTTCCCCCAGCGAAATAGCACTGCATTAAGAAAATACAGCTTCCCTTTAATGGTTTCTACTTTTTTATGTAGTGTGATTTTTATTATACAATCTGTGGAGAGAGAGAGGGTGGGGATATTTTGTGACTGTCTCTCCTCATTTCCATCAAGAACATAAAACAAAGTATGTTTTTAACCAAAATCAGCACTCTAGAGGTGCGGTACACCTGAAAAAGTACGCTAAAATAGACCTATTTTTAAATCAAGGGGGGGAAATCCTGCTGAAGATGTGTTCCAGTGTTTTAAAAAAGGAAGAGGCATGTTTGACAGCTGGCATTCTCAGACTAAAATGAGTGACAACAAACAAAGCATTGGAAATTAATCAGGCTTGTTATATCCGATACTGAATCATTAAAAAATTAAATCCTTTGGATTGGCTCTCACTATTCAGAGCTTTAAATTCTTACAGCAAAGACTGGTCTCATTTTGGCAACCACAGCGGAAAGGTCTGGCAGCAGAGCAGGCGAAGCCTGGCTACCTTTTTGTTTGTTTGTGACAGGCGAGGCATTGCATTACACCTCAGTATGACACCTGACTGTGATGTCACTCATTTTGATTGACAGCTGCAGTGTTCGGCCTGTTTTAATAGCTTCCTGTCTGATGATTCAACAGCACCCCCTTGGGAGAAGTGTCGACCCTAACACACACACACACACACACACACACACACACAAACTTAACACTGAGCTGCAAACTTCCTCAGTCTCCCTTCGATGTTTACCAGCTGCAGTGAAAGCAGCAGGTTAGCTCTGCTCAATTCCACATCAGGAGTGTGAGTATATGACAAGAGCAACACATAGGTATGGTACATTTCATGTGTGCAGTACTGTATACATGTCTTACAGTATACTCAGTTAACTATCACATTTTTTTTTGCTCCATTATTATGAATGCACCAACATCATTAGGCCTAATAAAAACATTGTATAAGCACACAAATCACAATTAAAAAAAGGTAATTGTAAACCACAGATTGCAGTTACAGACCTAACAAGATACTGAAACAGTCTGAATATGATACTAAATAAAATGCCCACAAAAAAAATTATTAATATTAAATAATACTTTAGCATGTAACATTTAGGTAAACCCTCACATATACACATACACCATACATATGTAGTCTCAATTGTGTTTCTGAATTTTTTGTAAAAATAATGGAAAATGTGAGGCACCCCTTCACTTAGACAGAATATCATCCTCCAAAACGCACAACGAAAACCATGTCCAGAGTCTAACAAGTAACTTTCAGTGACTCAAACATTTGGAATTTAGCTGGAGAAACTCTTTCTGGAAATGAGCACGACCTACTTTGACCCTGTGGAGTCCTCTCTCAAGCCTAAACAACACTCCACAAAAAAGGAAATGAATCCAAATCCAAAAAGTTAGATAAAAGTTCATCTTTAAAAAGCTTTTTTTAAAGTAGAGAAAGTAAGAAAGAAAGAAAGAGAGAAAGAGAGCAAAGTTAATGTCCCATTTATAAATGCCTCTCAGCCAGTCACTAATCTGACCCATATGCACTAAAAGGCAGCAGGCTTTTAACATGGAATAGAAGCAGAGCATGCACTGTGGTCCCAACATAATGCCTCAGAAAAGAAAATCAACAAAGATCCTTTGTTTTCTTCACTTTGCTCTCACCCCGGCTCTGGAATTTCACTGGATAAGCGCAGCACATAAGACATCGCAACTACAATCTGTTTATGAATTTTGTCCCAGAATTCCTCAGTTGAATCAGCCATGGTGTCTTGGTGTCTAATCTAAAAGCCAGACTTGCTCTCACAGCCTGGCACTTAAACTCCTCTGGATTCAAATGCAGCACCATGACATTCTTTATCAGGAAAAGCACCGCTACCCTTCACAAGGAGAAGAAAAAAACAAGATCTATGGAGTGAAACATGCAAACAACAACAGAGCTGAGATAAAAGCTACTTACTTGCCTTCAAACTGCGGAGGAATAGTGAAGAGGAAGTTCCA